GTCTCTATCTTTGTGTGCAATTCAATTCCATTTAATTAGTCTCACGTTAACCGGCGCACTTATATACAGGAATAGAGGCGCCTAGCACATACTGGATTATTCGTGATGTTCCCCGATCCTTAGAGAATATTATGACGTGTTACCAGATCACGTGACTACCGCTGTCATAACATTATATTTATCCTAGTTATTGAAGTGTGAAATTCGTAACTAGTTCCGTCATTATATTACATGATACAAACTGGTTATATTTTTCATTGCATTATTATTAGTGCTAACTCAGTAGTACAATAACGTCAATGAAATCTGAAACAACTGCAAAACTTAATTTATGATTTCAAGTTTTATTTTAACTACGTCAGCATTAAAAGTATGTCTGTGTTTCTGCGCATAAATTATTATGGGATAAACATGGTGATTTTTAGAAACGAAGTATTGAGTATTTACTTGAGTGAGATTTCGAAGTGCATAGGGAAGAATTCCAACATCGATGTGATAGCTGAACGATAATATTAGTAACTGTAAGTATACTTAGATTTTTATGGGATTAACCACTTGAAGTTAAATAATTCCTAAGTAACTACTATTGAGTACTAGTACTATTACAGTATTTTATGCGGTTTTTAAGATTTCATATATAAAGGATGTAATTGTACAGAAATTATATTTGTATTTTGAAATAATAAGTTTTATTCATAATTACAAAAATCATTATAATGTATATCACCATTACAAATACAATTTGTAGTATAATATTACTATTGTATTTGTGTCACACAGTGTAATTGAATCAGTATTACGCTCTAAAGTACATTACTGTCAGTGTCAGAGGATTTGTTACCTTTATTGTCGTAATTTGTGACAATGTAAGCTTGTACTAGCAGTATATCAGTGTGTATGTATCTATAAACTAAGTTATAACTGATAAGTTACAAAATAATTAAAGTAAAGAGTATAAAGAGTAAGACAAAGGTTATTGTTTACTAAGAAACTGTATGACACCTATCCTTCATTTATATTTAAAATTATTATCAAATTATACTTGACCTTTTCAGTTAAACAGTATGTTCTCTAATGTACAGCAAGCCTGCTGTTATAGAATTTTGATAAATAAGCTCATCAATGTAAAATAATTTAGACTTATTTAATAAGTTATTAGAGTATTTAGTGTATCAGTAACTTTAATACTAAAAAAAAGGTTTTTTATTAGGTAGTTCTTAATGCTGGTATAAATATTGCAATTATTTTTTTGAATGAGTTATAAAAACAAGAATTGTGGTTCATTAGCTGAATGTAGACACCATGAAGAAACTACTAACTTAGCTTTTCCTTTTCAAAGTTTTCTACTTTCTATTATTGCTTCAATAAGACCTTCATTATAAATAACAAACATACTGCAAAATCATTTCAATAAAATTATGTTGTAGCAATTTCTAACCAGGTTGTTATCTTGAAAAGCTCATCAGATATGATATTCAGTTTGGGGTTATGTCGTATATAATTATATCAGCATGGTGATGGAAAGGATGTAAATATAACTGTTGTACATAGATTTTATAAGCTGCCACACAGCATATTAGCTAAGCAAATAATATGTATGATGGTTGGGAAAAGACTAGTTAATTAAATTATATGTTTATTTATTTGGTTTGGTGAAAGAAAGAAAGAAAAAAACTGTTACTAAATGAGGTCCAGTCAAACTAGACCTTTGTTACTAATGGTATGCCTGAGGGGACAATGCTTGACTCTTTGCTCTTTCTAAAATACATTATATAATGATAGTGATAGGGGTATAATAAATAAATTAGTAAAGTTTCCTGAAAACACTTAATGTTGAGTTACTAAAGAATCACTTGAATCAATTAGTTAAATTGGCAGTTATTATGACTTTCAATTACTGTAAATGCAAGGTAATGCATTTGGATTGCACATTTAACATAGATGGGAACCCACTCAATAGAATGACTGAAGAAAAGGATATCAACATTGTGGTACATTTCACTCAATTCATCAAGGCAGTTCTCTGTTGCTGGTATTAAAACTATTATAGTTTTAGGATGTATTTATAGCCATATAAATGACAAGCCAAAATAGGCCATTATTTCTTTATACAAATCATGAACATAAAATTAAGGACAATAAGGGACCTGTTGGTTTATCTAGGCCACCCTATCCCCTGAACTTAAAAAAATATGCAAGCTTTATCATCCAAATATTTATCAAGCCTTCCACTGAACTTCCTCAAACCTATTGCATTTACCACATCAACTCATTCCAAAGGGTAGACATCCTGTTTGAAAAATAGAACTGTCAGCTAAAGATGGCTCCTACCCTGCCAAAATATATATTTGTATCCCCTAGGATGATGACAAAACCTTGTTGAAACGTTGTACATTTGCTGTTATGTTAAACTTATATTAAAGTTTTTCTTCATTACC